AACAAGTGATATGTGATGTGCAATGCATTTGAAAACATAGTTGACATATGTATATCTGAGATTGTAATGGTAAGGAATATCTTTTTGTTTAATTACAAAACAACAAAAATCGGCTGTACATTTTTCGAATTTTTGCCACAATATGTTTGCCCATAGTTGCGTATAGAAAAAAAGATTTGTAAATTTATCATTCGTACTAGGCTTTAATATTTGATGCTAAAGTCAGTTGAATATATTGCCAATACACATCGTTTTAAATTTGTGTATGAAAGTAATGCTTCACCAGAATCATAACAACTTGGAAGCATTTACCTCTTTCCATCAAACAACTGAGATACAAAATATGTTCAATGCATAGCGCGGGAATATATAACATATTACTCTAGAATAAATTACATCGTCATTAACTATATTCCATGATTCTCACTCAAGATGTTATTGATCGAGTTTACATGTTTGCAATGGCATACATATGCCGATAATGTGTGATTATGTTATTCGAATGTAATGTAATTAGTGGTTACTTGACTCTCATTTAAAAATGTTTGTATTCACATTGAAATTCACGTCTTGTTTCCTTTATTATCTTTCTTCATAAATGACCGTAAATCACGTTGTTTGGAACTCCCGTTAGCCTGTTTCGTTTTGCGCTTGAAAACAATGTCAATAAAAAAGTGAGTGAAATTCCAAACTTAGGCTAATTGTGAAACACTATTTATTTGAGTCAATCACTTAGACCTACAATAATAAAATTAGTTTATTTCACATATTTAATATATGGAAATGACTAATTGGGCATTCAAATTAGAATATCAAATCGCTTGGAGCAAAATAATCACTGATTGAGATTAAAAAAAAATCATGCTTATTGCACTTTCATAAACCAATCACGCAGTGCATTTTTATATTATGCTAAAATTTGTACCCCATATATTCTCTGACTGTATCATATTTCGGAATCTCTGATATCCCGTTAGATAACGAGTTCAGAATAGGTTTATATCTTAAAATTACCCAGTCTAGGCACGTATGATCAGATCACCACGATACATAAAATCACTTTTCATAGCGCATTATTCGATGATTTAAAGTAGAACGAGTCAATGTCCGCGTCATACTTTGTTGTCTAAGATATTAATGGACTGAATTACAGTAGTCATAAACGCTGTATGACAGAATGACAAAATGAGTGCGAATTCATTCAGTTCATTATGTGAAAAAAAGATGAAAAGACGTTTAACGCATAATATTGGTTAAATTAATAAGATTACAAAACATTAATTTAAAAATGAAAAAAAATAAGATTATCGGTATTATGAACACGTGTTCGCGAATCACATGCATGGCCGAGCACAGTGTCACACGCAACGTAATATTACCGTAATTGGTATAGTACAGGTGTGATGGTCCAAATACCAAAATGGTAACAGTAACAAAAAGACTTCCCTGGCGGCGATGATAAAATACGAACACGTAGCCAACAGATGAGGTTTCAACTGGTACTGGTATTATTATACTCTGCAAACATCAAGTACAATAACGCGGTAAAACTCCACTACTCCAATAACTAGATACTTAAACTCCAATACAATTCAACGAGATCTCCGATCTGATCTCAGTGCTGAACAACTCCCCTATATATACCCACACTGTCTATAAATAGACCATTACATCAACATACATAATGAGCCTGGAACTTACAAATTTCTAGAATGTTCCATTACCTTCTATTGCCTTCTACAGTGTCCTATTACCTATTCAACCAGCTTCTAAAAATTCCACCCAGACACAGTACGGTTCTAGAACATTCTCAGTCACACGGAAGTGGTAAACAAGTCGTATGCGACATGCCTCCCCTCTCAAGAATAGTATAACATATAATATTACATGGCTAGCGACGACGAC